GTCCATTAATTAACCAGTCTGACTATACGTTGCATAAATGTCATTTTACGTAGAGATCATAAGTGCATTTTAGATTAGGAAATATGTTTGCAGCTGTTTTTAATTGCATAATTAATGTAAAAGGGGACAAGAGGCAGAGTTAGGCTTGTTGCTTACTGTAGAGTGACCCAGGAGTTTAATGTATTTTATATTCCATTATGCCATGAAAATGTTTCTGTGCCCTGGGGATTTCAACGAAAAATTTACTTTAATGAAAGGAACCAAATATGGTTCCAAAGCTTTCAGATAGGAAGCCTGTATATCCTGCAGTTTACATCAGAAGTTCCCTTCTCTCTCAACTGCATCGAGATAGGGAAGATGTAATCACAAAGGCTGAAAGCAATTACAGTAAATGTTGGGAAGAGAAGGATGTCGAGTTTTGAATGTTCCAAAGCTGGGCTAAAATAATTATGTTTAAAGTAAAGAAAGTGTCAGCTACAGTCTGATTTTTCACTGAATGAATGCCAGTCAGTGAACCTTACATTAATGTAGAAAATCGGCTGTTTTTGCTATACTGCTTTCAACTGCACATGGCTAAAATCAAACTCAAAATAGTAAAAAGAAATGTGTTTCAGAAAATAACATGTCCTAGAAACTCACAGACACATCTAGATTCAGATATGGTTGAATATAGGAGTTCTAGAATATCAGCAGGGCTCGTCCTGTCTCCCACCACTCAGCCCTACTCACATCTACTTGATTTTATGCTACAGCTAGTCTCTCCTTGTGCTGGATGGCCACTGGGAGCCACAGAATCATGTCTCCTCAGCTTAGAAATTCCAGAGAGAGGAGATAATATTCCCATTTATCTCTGAGAGAAACATTTTGAGGAAGATTCTAATTGGCCTAGATGAGGGCAAATGAACTACAAAGGAACCAATCACCTGCTTTGCTTTACCTGGGACAGATACCTCATCCCTGGGGCCAGGAGGATAGGCAGGATGTCTTCATTTCTCAGTTTTGGGAGAGAAAGGTCTAATATTTTCACAAGATGGAAGGGAATAGGACATGGAGATATGAAAACTCTAGCTTGCTGCTACTGTAAATTCCACAATTATCACCCCCTGTCTTGTGTCTTATGATCATGCAGTAAGCTGACCTGTGAGATCATTTTCCCTATCAGTAGCCTTGATATATATGATTGAGAAGCAAATTGTAAAACAATACAGAAGCAGTGTGAATATAGAAAATTAACTGGACTAGTAATGACCAAGATCGCTGTGTGAGAATATATTTTAAAAGTTCCCACAAACTCACCAAAAGTTCAAAGTGGGAGCTGGAAATGCAAAGACAGTTTTGACAAGAGCAAGTTTTTTCCAAGCTAAATGAAAAAGTTTGCAGACTTTTAGAAACTACATTTTTAAAGAAAAAAGAAAAACAAATAAAGAAAATGAGGTCTATTAAAATTAAGAGATTTATTTAGGGTAACTTAGCCAGTTAATGGAAGGATTGAAATGAGAACACACTGTATAATCCAAGTGTGGTCTTTTAAATCTATGATACAACCTGTGTATATGTAGAAAATACAACACTTGTAACTTGTTAATCTCTAAATGTTCATGAAGTTGAAGTAAATGTATTCATTGTTCCAAGTATTCTTAAAGAGAAAAATGCCCAAAGACATAATTGGACTGGTATATATACACGAAATACACATGGAGATATCTTCAAATATAATATGTGCATGTCTTCATTCCTTCCCTCTGCTCTTTTTAAAAATGCCCCTTTAAAAATTTCCCACTCACCATCTGTTAGGTAAATTTCCTAAAACACAGTAATTGTGGAGGCAGGGATTGTTATAGAGACTATTCCAAATGGCAATGACACCTATACTTATGAAATTATAAAAAGTGTAGGTTAAAGTTGTTTTTTTAAATAAATTTCACCACTGTAGTAATACCACACCACCTATGTGCTCAGCTCTACAGGATTACATAAGATGGAAAGAGAAAAAAGGAAAAAAAATTTTCGGTATTTATGTATAAAATGTTATCCCAAAAGTTTGATATTACATTCAAGATTCAATTAACAGAAGGAAAACATTGACACATTCACTAAAGCATTTCATTTATGGTACAAGTCCACAGATTTAGATTTGCATTATTCTCCAATAAGGGTAGAGTTGAACACTTTTTTCGTCTACTTCCTTTGGGAGAAAAAAAAAAAAATCCACCTGAATCAGATGCCATTCAATTCCAAGTCTACAGCTTAGACCATGTCACTACACATGAAATATAATTCATTCAGAGTCAGGATGTAGCAAGAGTAATTTATACTCTTGGAGTGTTTGCTCTCAAGTCAATAACAGAGAAGCCTTGAATAAAAATGTTCCCATTACTTTCCGCTATAATATATCTTACTTACTGCCCATAAAACAGTGGTCAGAGGAGATTTATCTAATGGTTACCATATTATATAACCTCTCCACTTTAAGCCATCCCACCCCTGTGATGATTTTTTTAAAAAAATACATTACTTATAGTCAATATTAATTTATATTTAATCTTTCTTAGCATTAGGAGAGTATTATTTTGCACAGGCTAGGAACAAATCTCCAGAAATTCCTCCCTGATGTTTTTTTGAGGCTGAAAATACATTGCAGGGCAGTTGCAGTGATTTAATTCTAGTTGACAGAGCCCTGGCCACACACTAATTTCATTAGCCTCAAATTTCTGGATTGATTTGAAGACCCACTGGATATGATTCCTGACCTCAGACATGTCATTTACTAACCCACTCAGTGTGTAAAGAGAGGAGAGGAAGAGGACTTGCTAGGCTCATATCTTCAATCTGGTATACCAGCATGCCCCTGAAAATTCAAAGTCATAGACACTATTTATATCTCAGTAGTCATTCTTGCCCAGGTCCAAATTTTCAGGGAAGAACTTCATTCCTGACTTTGCTGGTGGCAGCAGCATTTGTTACATCTATCACCATCTCATTTCTCCCTTCTTCCCTGCAGTGCTAAGCATCCCCATTTAAGTCCCTAAGTATTCCTTCTCCTAGCCTACAGGCTTAATTTACTACAAAGGTATATCTCAAGTGATCCTTTTGGCATGATCCCTACAGCAACCTGCAGGGACCAGAGGAAAAAAGAAAACTCACTGGAGAGCTAGGAATTCAATCATTTGGAGGAATTTCTTTTATATAGGACAATCTTAATTGAACTGAACCTTGGAATCCCAGAGAAGATTCACCATGTCCTTTTTCTCTCTCTCTAAGAGTGCCTTTGAACAATAGGTATGTGTATCATTATTCTTTGTACTCATTTTGCCGGCTTATGGAAACTGGAAAAGTGGGGACTGGAATTACATGACAGGAGCTTCTAAGATCACATGCCAAACGGGCTACTGGAAGAGATTGCTAATATACGAAATGCAGATTCTAACATTGGCAGTGATTAACCAGGACACACACCAACCAATGTTTTATCTAGCTTGCATGCATGCTAAGCTACAAGTTGGTGCATTCCTCAGACTACCAGCCCCTTGTCACTAAATGCAGGTGAAAACTGGGGCTCTTTTTTCCTCAGCTATTCAATCCAACATGAATAGCTACAATTTGCAAATTAGAGGAAAATGACTGTGTTTTCTTTGGACGGTTTTGGTCCCAAGCCAGAATGCTAACGGTAGCATTGGGTTCCTTTCTACTCAGTTCAGGGAATGGAGAAATTAGTGTAAGGCCAGCACTCCCCCTCCTTGTTCCCCCCTAGCAAGTTGCCTCAGGTTCATACAACAGGAGGAATCAGCTCCTCCTGGAATCTTTTTCAGCAAACACAGTCCCTCAGCCTAATCTGCAATCCCTTTCTTGACTTTAACATTTCACTATTTTTTTTCAGACAGAGACAGACTCATCTGCAGTACTGCCAATGGTAAGTAAAGATACAGGCAGTAAAATAATTTAAAAATTCTAAACACAAAACATTTGTGCCTTTAACCCCAGGGGCTAACAGGGAAAACACTGTAACTTCCCCCAGCCCCCAGTGGTTCTCAGGTAAGGTCTCTGACCTCATCCTCTCCCACTGCACTACTACCTTAACTTGTCTAGCTTTAAGCTCAAAGATGAAGTAAGCACTCTGGGTTTCAGCTACAAATCAAGTTCTTCCTTAGAGCAAGGAACTCAAAGTGATGGCTAGCCCCAAAGCACTTTTGGTTTTCAATCCTTTAAGGATCTCCATGATAGCACAAAGAAAGTGTCAGGGATGCTCAGAGGTTCAGAGGGGCCATGCAAGCTGCAGCCTAGAATAAGCACTCCTCCTGAATGCAAACTTCACACTCCTGGAGGTGATGTGGTGACAGCCCTGGGTCTCACAGAGTCCCCTTCTGAAGCCCAACACCTTTCCGGAAAGCACTTGAGAGGGGCCGGTTCTCTACATATGAGGAGCATAAAGGTGCCAGGATCAATGTGTACATCTGAGGAAGAGATTAGCTGGGTTTAGGTACCACCAGGCAGGGAGAGAGCCGCTAGGCATTGGGAAAGGGTCATATTAATACTGAGATGAACCAAGAACTTGGGAATGAAGACAGAGGGGAAAAGGAGGCAAAGATTGAAAGGGAGGGGAAAAAAACAGCAAAGGAGACAGAGACAGAAAGAGAGAGTGATGCACATATAGGGAGACACAGAAGAGGGAACCTACAATCACAGAGACCCTGAAACTCAATTTCCAAACCCCAAAGCCACTCATTCCTACCCAATGCAGATCGGGAGCCAAGGGGCAGAGGCTGTGGGAGCAGGTGGCAAGAGAACACTGCGGTAGAACCCACCGCTCAGCGGCCCCGGATCCACCTTCCTCCCATTTTTTCTTAGTCGCCTTCCGGCACTGGAGCGGGAGGACCAGGGGGCCCTGCTCCAGGCACCTCTCTGCCTCCCAACGGGCGCCTTCGTGCCTTGCTCCGGGAATCCTCCTCCAAACCGAGAATTTGGCTTGGGGTCTGCACCAGGGAGGTGGTGGGTGGGTGGAGGGGGGGCGAAGGGAGGAGGCAGGGAGAGCTATTTGTTTCGCAGTTAGTATGAGCTCATCTCTGGGCTGAGGTCTGAAGTGGCAGGAGTGGAAAGCTGATCGCCCAGCTCCGGCCAGTGGCTGGATTGCAATTGCAATTTAGACGGTGCAAAAAATTGCCGGGAGCAAACCAACTGAGGGTCACGTCTGCGGGCAGCATCTCTCCACCTGAAGAAGGTCCCAGCACCTTAGGACCTTGGCTCTTGCCGAGGCTGGCTACAGGTCAGGAAATCAACCCAAGGGAGGTGGGGACTTAATATCCACTTCTAGGTTAAAGACCAAGCCCTGGATTTAAGAAGTGCCTCCTTAAGATCGTCTCCAAATTTTCCAGGGGAGTGCACGTTTGCAGGATGGCTTGGGGACGGTGGGAAGCAGGGGAGTTGAGAAATGCCGGGTTTCCAGGCATCTTCTCATCTTTCCTATTCCATTCCTCTTTACTAGCTCTCCTAGGAGCCTGGCACTTTCACAAGCCTGCTTTCGCACCATATTTCACTCTAATGCAAACCCATTTAAATCATCGCCTTGTTTTTCGCAGATTGCTTCTTGTAAATGGGGCCATAAATCCAGGATGTCAAGCCGGATGGAGTGGAGCGTGGACAGGGGAGAGATGGAAGGGAAATAAACCAAGCAGGGAAGGTATCTCCTTGGGCAGGGTGGGAGGGATTCGGCAGGATCTCCAGGGTGGAAATGAGTGAAGGCTGACCTGACCCGAACCACCGGAGTCCAAGTGAGCTTTTAGGGTTAAGGGCGCAGGTAGCCACGGCGTGCTCCGCCCCGGAGGGAGCGCCCCCCTACCTGGAAGAGCCTCAGGATGTTGGCTACCATGATGGAGACCGAACTCCCCGAAGCCCCAATCACTCCAACTACTTTCTCCGGCTTGACGAAAACCGGGGGTTCACCGTTGGTGCAGCGCACGTCGGAGGTGTCCTTCTGGATGAGCGCCTGGACGAAAGTGAGCGACTGTTCGAGCGCATAAGTGTCCCTGGAACAAGTGTCCAGGATCCGCGCGCCCAGCGTCACGTTGGGCAGTAGGTTAGGATCACTGTTGATCTGGTCCAGGGCGTAGAGCATCGCTTCCAGCCTGTGGATCCCGTTCTCCCTCTTGATGTCGCCGCAGGGCACTCCGCTGGGACCCTTGGCGTGCACGGGGAACAGCCCCCCAAGGGTGACGTCCCCCTCGATCCGGATTGAGTGCGGGGCGTACATCTCCTGGCCGCGCGCTGCTGCCGCCAGCGCGCACAGGAGCACCTCCAGCACGCAGCAGGGGAACTTCATCAAAGTCAGGACGCGGAGCAGCTTCCTCAGCTGGACCATGCTGCTCTGGCTGCTGCGGTGGCGGCAGCCGCTGGAGGGGACGGTTGTGGGATCGCCGAGGTCCGGGCCCCTCTGGGTTTGCTCCTCCGGGAAAGCCCAGGGGCTCCTCCAGGCACGAAGGGTGGGGGAGTCGGGGGAGGGGCGACCAGAGAGGGTGAGGGGTCCCGAGGCGCCTGCCAGCCTGGGGCTCCTCGCGCTCTCTGGTTCGCCGGCCAGCACGCCGCGCTCGCGCTCACCAGCGTGCAGCTCGCTCTCTCCTACAGCCCAGCACTGGGGAGAGGGCAGGGATTGCTATCGCTTTAAATGGTCGTTCGGCTCCCTCTCCTCCTCCTCCCACTCCCTCCCTCCCTCGCTGGCTCGCTTCTCTCCCCACCCTTCCCAGCGCCCGCCCTCCCCACTGGTTTGCATCATCACGCAGGGAGGGGCTGCGTGCTGAGGTAAGGGGGGAAAATGGGTGGGCGGCTGGGGAATGGGGGGAGGTTTCCTCAGAATGGGAGTTTCGTGGTCCCCAGGGAATCTAGGGATTGCGAGCTGGGCTCTGGCCCCCAACTCACTGTGGAAGCCTCTTGCCCGCCTGCACCCACACCCAGGCGTTCTGGGCATGGGTGTCATCAGCCGCGGGATAGGGCGAGGACGTTGGGCTGACTGCTCCCAAACCCTAGGTCCGGAGCCTAGGCTCTTAGCTCTGGGAAAACCCCAGGGAGAGGCAGAGAAGCCAGTGAGGGAGGGGCGTGGGAAGACCCTAGCTAGGCTCTACTCCTGAGCCGCCTGTGCTAGTTTTTGCTAAGAAAGCCACACATGCACACAAGAGCCTGATTCACGACTTAAAGACACTTTACCCAAAGGGGTCTCCAGGGCCAGGCGCTGAGCTTGGCTGCAAGGAAACAGAAGCCAAGGGGAGACACCAGGCATGGGAGTGCATCCTTGGTCTTCAGTGGTCACTAGAGTCAGAGCTCTGTGAACTGACGCATTTCCCCAGCACTTCTGTGTCGGAAACCTCGGACGCATCCCTTCTCTTTTCTTCTTTGCAGAGATGGAACAACTGAGAACTCCACAGAGCCTATTTTCTTCTCTAGTACTGACAGGTGTAAGGCTCCCTCCTGTTTCTAGAGATGTATCTGGTGCACCTGGTGACAGTTTTTGCCTGTAAGAAACTGCAGGAAAGAGATGATGGCAGGAATAAGAAAGGGGGCAGGCAGAAGTGTCCCCATAGATTGAGAATGCCTTTCTCTTTCACTGGCTGGGGTTTAGGGACAATGTCAGGATGCCAGAACAGGTTGCAGTGCAATTGAGAAGCTCTTTATGAAAGGTGCCTCCTCCTGCAGGTCCAGACACATTTGGCCTATTAAAGCAACAAGTGGCTCTACTTCCAATACAAGGAAAGTGATTGTCTCTGTCCTTGGGGATGGGAGTGGACTTGAGGAAGTTAAACCAACTCTTGCTGAGGCTTTCTGTTGGAGAGCTGCAAAATCATATTATACAGACATTAGGGCGGAAAGAAAACCAGAAGCAAGACTATACTTCTTGTTTCTGCTGATGATGTAACGAAGAAACCTATCACTGTAGGAGGGGGAAAGTCAAAAGGCACTTAGTTGGTTGTCTCTGCCACCAAATACTTGTGTGCTCTCAGCACTTCTGTTCCTCTGTCTGGGTTTTAGTTTCCCCATCTGGAAAATGATGAGATTGAATTGGATGCTCTCCAAGTTATCTTTTAACTCTCAAATCATCTGTTAAAATAGGTCATGTCCCTTTGGCCATGGTGCTCTTTTTAGGCCAATATTTTCTATTGTATTATGTGTAGACCAGTTTTTGCATATCCAAAGAACACTGAAGGTTTCTTGGTATAGAAGGATTTTTTTCTTGAACAGCATCTATTCTTTTTTCCTGTCAGGGACATCCCATCAATTTATTTTTGGATATGCCCCTCTGGCGTGTTTAAATGTTTATGGTTTCAGGAGAATTGATCCCACTCCCTGTATTCAAGTCTTGACTGATCAGAACATCAGATCCTTCTGGCTGTAGTGATGTTCCAGGATGGGCAGTAAGTCCAATCAGAGCCATTCAGGGATAATCCCTGGACTTTTGCTGGGGCAGCCAGGATGGAGGCATAGGGGTACCATTATAACATAGGCAATCTCTGTTTGAGTCAGATAAAAAGGGGCCCCTTCTCCAAAATACTTGGTTTCTTTTTTGGAAAATTGTTGTGCTATTCTGATTTTGTCAAAACAAGATATTTTGTGTCACCTTCCAGAAAACAGTGCTGTAATTAATATACAAAGCTACTCTGTGTATAATGTGCCTATGAATCACCTTCAGACTCAATGCCTTGCTACGTAAATACGCAAGTTGAATTACCATGATGGTCCCTGCTCCTTCTTGTATGTCATAGAGCTGTGAGAATATTAGCCTGAAGTTGTGCCAGAGGCTTCCACAAGAACAGGGAGATATTTAAACCCCAAAGTAAGAGAGAGATATACATACAGATAGAGATAGATAAAAAATGGGAGACAGATTGAGGCTTAATTAAAACATTTGCATTCTTGGATCCAGGCATGCTTTAAGAATTGCCTCTGGACTTTAAAAATTATTTAGCACTTCCTTTCTGTTTAAAGTCAAAAGGATCCTCTTCTAATTCACCTGTTCTAATACACAAAATCAAAAAGGTGAGATGGCTGAACACATATTCTATTAGGGCAGCATTAACTCATTTGGAAGAAGATATAAATAAAGCAATAGAGAGACATACTTGGGAACAAGTGTATTACAATCCTAGTATTTAAGCATTAGCACCTAAGGCTGTCTTTGACAGATACTATTACATCCTTATTTCATTTTAATTCCAGTCTATTTAATACAAACTTGGTGACAAAAATATTTGGAGAATTGGAGTAACAAGTAATGTCACTTGGTTTTTCACCTGAACATGTCTCGCTTCATGCTCTGTGCTTCCATTTGCATTTCCCATCCAATGATTGCTCAATAAATATTTTTTGGCTGGCTGTTGAATGCTGCCTTATTCTGCCTTCTCTCTGCTCTGCTCCTTCTCCCCAAACATCTGGCAGCGATCATTATCTTTCCTTTATTGCCATCATCTGAGTGCATGTCTTATTTCCCTTGCCAAGTAGTAAGATCCTTGAGGGTAAGGGCTGGGTATTATTTATCTTTTTATCGGGACCATGTTTCAAATGATGTTTTGTGCCTAAGAAGCACTCATGTGTTGAATGATTCAGAACTAGTTTTGCCATTCTCTACTGCCTTTATTTGACAGTGACCAAAACTTAAAGTGGGAAGAGCAGGAATGCTGACAGATAAATCACTTCCCTCTTAGTTGCTATAGACAGTTTCTAGAACTTAAAGATAATTAGTAGATTTTGAAGTAATTTTGTATTTTTAAAAATGTCCAGGGCTAAAATATTCTAACCTTTAAAATTTGATTAACTCTCAGGTAAAGCTTTGATTGGTCAAATTTCCTGAGTCCAGTGCTCACTGAGGGTTCAACAACTGTGGCCATGCCCATAGGCTGGTTCAAAGAGCTCAGAAGCATAGACCTATTTTCTAGCCAGGTACCACCACCACTTAAATTACATGGAAAGAGAACTCTGTTACCAGAGAAACTGGAAAATGATGCTGAGCTTGCAAAATCACTACCCATCTACTACATATGATTTATAATTAGTATTTATACCTTTTGCCATGGCATAAGATCTGGCACTTGATAAGGAACATGGTATTTTTGTTTTGTTATATTTTCTGAGATTATATGGATTGAAAATCTCTGTGTGAGATGGGTTTATGTAAAACAGGGCCAGTCATTGTTCTAATGTCAGATTTCATTGGAGGAGAACCTAGTTTTAGGCACAAAGATTGTAAGCTATAAAATGTGTTCACAGGCTTGGCTCTATTTAGTAATCAATCTATCCTCACTCGGGGGTTAATAAAAAATGACTAAACTTAAGGTCTCAGTCTTACTTCATATTCTTTTATTTTCTTGATCATCTTTGTTTTACTTATTTTCTTTGTTGTTCTGCTGCCTGAAGATGTTCTACTCTTCAACATTTTCTGCAGGAAATAATGTTCGCACTTCCAGTTCACACTATATTTGTTTAAATTCAATTTTTAACATACAAGTGTGTCTTCCTTAACCATTGCTACTTCTGCTATGGCTGCTAGTGCACTGCGGCTCTTCTTCTATCCTTATATAATCTTCATCTGTAACTTTTCAAAACACAATCTCACATTTTATTATTTGAATGGACATTCACTTTACCTTGGTGACAGAGACTATTCCATTTTCATCTGGTATACTTTCTTGCTTTATCTACTTGTAATAGATACTTTCTGTCACTTAACTAGCATCTATTCATCCATTTTCTGATCCCTTTTGTTAAGAAACCTTGGTATTGTGCAGATAAATTCACTCCACAGATCCTGCAATGGGTGGATTGAAATTGATTCCTACTGGTAACCCCTTTCTTTCCTTCTGGTAGTTCATTTAGGAATTCAAGCCAGTGACATCTAGGGAAAGCCTTGATGGGGGTTTCTGAAAGCACTTCTTGCCTCTGGCAGGATTGTGTGTAGATATGAGACCTGGGATTATTGTAGTTATTTCACTAGTTGCATGAAGATGAGTTCAATACACAGAGCTTCCCTGCACCACTAGATCAAATCAACCCCAATCCTTCCTCTTTTGATTTCCAGTTACATAAGCCAAGAAATCTGCTTATTGCATAGGCAAGTATTAGTCGAGTTTTCTGTAACTTACAGCCAAATTCATGCTAGATGTTACTAAAAGTATTTATATTATTAATAAATAGGATTTGAATATATTTACATTAATGTTATACATTTTATATGAATAATGAATATTACCAAATTTCAAATTTTTTCATGTGCTTACAGGATACCAGGCATTATATTATCAATTCTCAAGATAACCTCATTTGATATATATCATTATTATTATTGCTATTTTATAGATCAGAAAATGGAGGCCCAGGAAGGTGAAAAGTATACTTTTATCAATATGCTGTCATTTTTTTACTGCTTCTTTAGTTTATCCGCCTTACCATCTTGTTACCTTGAAGCTCCCATAACTTAAGTCTCAACTCCAGATGCTCTGAGTGCTCTGTCTCATCAAATGTACTCAGTTCAGAAAGACCTCACTTGTTACATCCCTCAGATCTCCTTGCCCTTTGGATGCAGTGTCTGGGAAGCCACAAGGAGAGTCTCACCTAAGGACAAAAGGAAACCTCACTCCCCAGTTTTCTGTCTTCCCAGGTCTCAGTGATTTCACTCATTTCTTCTCTCAGTACATAGGGAGGACTATTTTACCCTGCCCGTTGGGTAGGCAAATGAAACAACACCTTTGGGGCAAGTCACTCATACACTAAGTGATTCTCCAGGTACAGATCTCTCTCTATCATATTTTGTACTACCATTTAATAAACCAGTTGTTCCCTCCAGAGCTGTGAGTCAGAGAACAAAATGGCTTTGACTTCCTTAATAGGCAAAAACAATTCTCTGCTTTCAAATTGCTAGACAAGACTGCCTAGAAGGGCTTGAACCTCAGCCTTCCCCTATAATTCTTTCAATCTCCCTACAGTGTCCCCTAAGTTTGTAGAGCATGGAATGTCCCAACCCTCCTTTTGGTAACATCATCAGCCATTCCTTTGGGAAGGCACTCTTCTCGGTCTTTAGGAACTGAGATGGATCCTAATACTCCATCTACCCAAACTCAGATGTGGGCACATATCTAGGGTTAGCTGAACTGAGCTCTTTCTTCCCCTGGTGGGGCTGATGAGTCCAAAGATAGGTAAAGAACTTGAATTTTATGTATGGATTCTAGAAGGCAGATGTACTTCTCTTAGCTAAATACATATGAAGATAGAGACCTGGGGCTTCCAGCACGTTTCTTCACAACATGAAGAAAACCTGTCTGAGAATAAAATCAACCCCCATGGCCGGACACAGTGACTCATGCCTGTAATCCTAATTCTTTGGGAGGCTGAGGTGGGTGGATCACTGAGGTCAGGAGTTTGAGACCAGCCTGACCAACATGGTGAATCCCTGTATCTACGAAAAATACAAAAATTACCTGGGTGTCATGTTTTATGCCTGTAATCCCAGCTACTTGGGAGGTTGAGGCAGGAGAATTATTTGAAGCAAGGAGGTGGAGGTTGCAGCGAGCCAAGATTGCGCCACAGCACTCCAGCCTGGGTGGCAGAACAAGACTCCATCCATCTCAAAAAAAAAAAAAAAGAATCAAGCTACACAAGGAAACAAAGCTAAGATATGAAAAGAAACCTAGAACTCTGATGAAGTCTCCTGAGACAGAGGATCCAGCAATGTCTGCAACCATATTTCCCTTTGAACATTTCCTTTTATTATCCAATATATTTTATGCTTTGCTTAAGCTAGTTGAAGCCCAGCCTCTCAAAATTCAGAGCACTAATTTAGATGGTTACTGTTTCAAGATAAGCAGGTATTAATTCTTATGTACTGTTTCTTATACTCCTCTGAGAATGAACTATGGAAAGTTTAGAACTCTATAACATAAGAGTATAGTAGCCCTGGAATCTGTTCTTGATTTGACTCCAGACCTTGAGCATATAATATCAAGCTCCAAATTACAATAGCTTTAAATGACCAGTTAAAGTGGGTAGTAAAATTAAAACTTAAAAAGTATTGAGTGTAACTGATGGACTTTTAAAATGTCTTAAAACCACAATTTGTTATGTTCATTTCATGATAAGAAATGTAGCACTACTACAAAAATATACAAAATTAGCCAAATGTAGTGGCGTGCACCTTTAGTCACAGCTACTTGAGATGCTGAGGATGCCTTGAGCCCAGGAAACTGAGGTTGCAGTGAGCCATGATTGTGCAACTGCACTCCAACCTGGGAGAAAGAGCCAGACCTTGTCTCAAAAAAGAAAAAAAAAAAGGAAAAAGAAATGCAGCAATAGTATAGATTGGTACCTGTGTGTGTTAGATATGTGGGATATATTTTGTCTATTTAGAGCTGGTAGTAACTGTAAAGTAATACAGTTTGCCTTGCTATAGGAATCAATCCACATAACCCTTGCATTCTAAAGACCTGCTTATTTATGGGCAATGGAGGCATTTGAATATGCTGATTGAACCTCATGTATTTCTTGAATCAACCCTGACTAGTGTGTGAGGTTTATGCTGTTTATTGAAGACCTACTCTGTAATAGGCACTGAAATGAGCAGTTTATATGCAATGCATCATTGAATCTCTGCAACGAATCTATAAAAGTTTTTGCTATTATTGATATCTTAATTTTAACAGAAATAATGATAGTAAATAACTTTCCTGCTACTTGCTTTCATCCAGGTACTATTCCAATTATGTACACATGCTGATATATTTAATCTTCATAGTAAATTAGGGATTTATTTAATTCCCAAAATATATAAGGCAAGTACTATTATAATTACCTCTAATTTTCAGATAAAGAAATTGAGCTGCAGAGTTGTTAAAAATTTTGCCAATATCATAAATGTAATAGGTGCCAGAGCTCAGATTTGAACCCAGAAAATCTATCAGCCCCTATGCTTCCTAGCTTGTAGATAAAGAAGCAGAGTACACCCACATATGGTCAGCAGACATGCCTTTAACTGCTGTACTTGATTGCTTCTCTGTGTATCAGTAGATGCTGATGTATATCAGCTGGGGAGTCCTGAACTTTTACTCTTCGGGAAGGCACATTCGGAACATGTCTAGTGAACCACTCATACTCGCTTGTTCAATTGCTGCTTTTTCCCCCTCTTCCCACAGTCACACGCATTGTCCATATAAGAAATAGAAAATGTCTGTTCTCTATCAGTCTTCTAGGCCTTCATATGGCCATGACTATCTGTCCTGTATCTTGAGATCTTGGACAAGCTGCTTTGTCTTTGTTAGGACCTTTCCTGTGTGAGGTCCTGTTGCAGCTTATTGAGATGCTACTCTCAACCACCCCTAAAACCCTGAAAATGTCAAGTTCAAAACCAACCTGAGTCAAGCTCAGCTTCAGTGCCTTGTTTGAAGAGAGTTGAGGGCATGTTTTCCTTTCTGGTTATTACTTGATTCAGTAAATATTAACTGAGTACTTTAGATTTCATAATAATACTATTTTCACAATACCAAAACTTGGCCATCCAAATAAGCTTTGTGTCTTTCAGTGTAGTCAACTGAGATATTATAGATCTATTTCTAAAATGTTTGAAATGTTGGGCAATTCCCTCTGGCAAATGTCTTAATATGTTTTAATATGTCTTATGAGACCATCTACTGTATTGTTTAATATTCCTCTCATTTAAGAATCAACAATATCTCTTTAGTTATTCATGTATGTTTCTTACAAGTTTTGATTCTTACAAGTTTTGTGATTTTGGCCCATTTTTCATTATCCTTTCTACATAGAAAATATGTAAGACATTTTGATGCTAGCGTCTTAGCCATACAAGTTTTTAATTTTACTATTTTGACTGTTCAGTCCCTCAGATCCCCACACAAAAAAAGAAAAAAAAAACCAAGGTATGTATAAACTATAAAAATTGGGATCTAGCCTCATTTCTGTGGGAGATGGTAGAAGGTAAGCTCTTGTGCACATTCATTCAGCCAATCAATCTCGATTGAGAATGTTTGCTTCATCATGGTGAACTAATTGGTCCCAGACTTTCCCTCTCACTTACTCCCAATCATTAGAAAATCAGACAGAATAGATGAAAGACCTTGTTTAAGCCATTGGGTTAATTAGCAACTCTGGACCATTCCCAAAGAAAAGGAACAAATTAGGAGAGCTCTATGAATGTCATGACTTTCTGCACCATGCCATTATTCAGACCTAAGCTGACAAGATAAATTTGAAGGGATAGAGATCAGAGTTCAGGGAGGTTAAGGAGGCTATCAACCTGTATTTTGATGAAGGCTACACATGCAAGATAAAGGCTACACACAAGATACACAAGATGAAGGCTACACACAAAAAGAGGACGAGAAACCTGTATGAGGTTCCCTTGAAGTTTATCTGAACCCTAAACTGTGAAAACATAGGATGACAATCTGGGACACCAGGAAAATAACAACTATTTGGGAACTGCATCAGAGCTCATGCAGTACCAGGAGACATTTGTGCTCTGACCTTGTTGACTAGGAGACATTTGTAGAGCCTGTGTTGAATCCTCAGAGCATTTAGTAGAGACTCTAGAAAGATTACACTTTAATAATAGGGCTAAATAGCCATCCTAAAACATCTTAGAAACAAGCCTGGAAAGGTGCATCTGTTCTGCAAATAACTTAAGCCTGCTTAAACAAAGTTTAATGATTTTTAAAGGTAGACAGTGAAATACTGACACTTAACCCTGTTACATTTACATTGTGTAGAATCTAATGAAAATTATAAGTCATGTTAAAAAGTAGGAGAAAAATAAAAACAGATTTTGGAATCACGTATTTTGGAATCAGCAGACAAATAGAACAGCAAGGTAGACAGAATACTAAAATAACCCCAGTGGTTCTATTACTGACAATACAGCTTGTACAGACATAATTAAGGTTATTAATCAGTTGACTTAAATAGAGAAATTTTCCAGGTGAGCCTAACCTAAACACATGAATCCTTTAAATGCAGAGGCTTTTCTCTGACTGGTTGCAAAAGAGGAAGTCAGAGAGATCCAAAGCATGAGGGAGATTTTACTCTGTAGTTCAGCCTACAGAAATGAAGATAAATGACTGTTGTTTCAATCCACTAAAACTAATATAAACAACTAGTTTAAATATTCTCAAGAATTTGAGGAAAACTTGAGCATAATGAGAAGAAAAGTGAAAAAGAATCAATGGAAATATCTAGAGCTGAAAAATACAATATAGAAAATAAAGTATCTGAAATTCATTGCTTATATTTAACAGCAGTTGCACATTGCAAAAGAAAAGATCAAAGAACTTGAAGGTGCATGGAATACTGACCAAAATAGACTCTATATTATTCTATAAAATAAGTCTGAATACATTAAAAAATTGAACTAATTTTGACAATGAGGACATTAAATTAAAAATAAAATGAGAAAATATCCTTGCATTTAAAAATGATACAGTATGCTATCAAATAACCTACAGTTCAAACAAAATATTTATTTCTTTAAAAAATACCATAAAATATTTTAAATGACATAACAAAAGCAACCTATCTAAATTTGTAGTGTGTAGCTAATGTAGGTCTTGAGAAGATATTGAAAACTTAAACACTTATATTAAAAAAACATATTTAACCCAAAGTAGAAAAAAGTAATAAAAAGCATAACTCAATAAGAAAAAAGTGCAAAAATAAAGAAAAAAATCAGTAACACAAAAGCTGTTCTTGGAAAAGAATAGTAAAATTGACAATGTATAGCTGGACATATTAAGAAAATAAGAGAAAAATGACCAATATAAAATGAGTGAACATTGCTCTAGACTCTATACTCATTCAAAAGATGAGAAGGCTGGGTGCAGTGGCTCATGCCTGTAATCCCAGCACTTTGGGGGACTGAAGTGAGCAGATCAAATGAGGCCAAGAGTTTGAGACCAGCCTGGACAACATGGCAAAACCCTGTCTCTACTAAAAATACAAAAATTAGCCAGGTGTAGTGGTGCATGCCTGCAGGCCCAGCTATTGGTGGGCTGAGGTGGGAAGTTCACTTGAACCCGAAAGGTGGAGGTTGCAGTGAACAGAGATCACATCACTGCACTCCAGCCTGGCCAATGGTGAGACTCTGTCTCTAAATAAACAAGAAAATGTTATGAGCAGTGTTATGTCCAACAAATGAATAACCAAATTAAATGAACATATTTATTAAAAGGCACAATTTACTAAAACTGCCACAAACCACCCCACCAAAATCTGAAAATGTTGATGTCTCTTAAATTACAAACCCACTGTTGGTAAAGTAAATTTAAGAGACATAAACCTTTTCCCACTCTTGCCTGGGGATGGTGGCGGGAATTAGAATTAACTGTAAATGGGCATGACAGATCTTATGAGCAAAATAAAAATGTTCTAAAACTAACTATGGTGATGGTTTTACAACTTGGTAACGGTAGTAAAAAATTATTAAATTGTATTGTTTAAATGGATAGACTTTATGATAAGTGAAATAGATCTCAACAAAACTGTTAAAATAAGGTAAATAAAATCATGTATATGTATATGTATATGTATATGTATATGTATATGTATATGTATATGTATATGTATAGTTTCCACAAAGAAAATTTCAGGTCTGGATAAATTTCACCAAACATT